TGACTTTTTTTGTTTGTTTTCGGAAGTTCAAATTTTTGAATAATTTCAATATTATCGTTATTAATTTTTTTTAACTAACTTTTAAATTATCGATTAATATGAAAAATCGGTTGTAAATGAGAATTTATTTATTTCGCTAGTTTTTTTGACAAACTATAAAATATTATAGAATTAGAAATGTGTAAAAACAAAGTAGGTAAACGACGATGGCCCTGATGCATGCCATGAATATCTAATTGATTTTATTAAGGATTTTGGCAACAAAAAAAAACTTTACTGTTTGACGTAATAAATCTTCTGGGAAATTCAAATTGTTTCTCTTTATTTATTTATGCAATTTAACCGGATAAAAAATTAACATAAATTTATAGTTCTCCTTTTTATTCTATGTATATCAATTAAGTAATTTAAAAATAATTATATATGAGAATAGATACGTTATGAATTAAAAAAAATTGTTTATTACTTTTTGCGTAACATCTATCAGGCGGTTTTATTTTCAATGAAAAGAATTAAGTTAGCAGACAGAGTTCCAGCCACAACAAAGCAAAATAAAGAAGAAAACGAAAAATAAAAAAAAAAAACGATACGCGGCACAGATTTTTCTCCTTCATCAAGGATTACAAGTTCATTAATACATCGCCACTCAATGCTGAGAGTGTGAGATGTGTGCCTATATAAAACAACAAGGTTTTCGCGATTCAAAACAGTTATCAGCATCCCGTTCGTTGTTTCTACTTGTAGCTGTAGTGACCGGTTAAATCTCTCGATTTTTCTTCATTATCTAAACGTAGAAGGATTTCGCTCGCGAAACTCGCTAATTTAAAGTGTCAATATTTTTTAAAGTTTTTGCCATATAAGATTTTATTTTACTTTTTGTTGGTGCTGTCCGCATTGAAGACTCACACCGTAAAATTTACTACAACCGCGATGACCAGAACTAGTAGTTGTTAAGTGATACTTGATGTTTGACGTTTTTATTCCGAATACTTAAAAAATATAAAAACAAAATCAGTGGATTTTATTGTCAACGATGAAACCAAACATAAAATGTTTTTGGTAAGTCCTATTTAAAAGAACTCTTTTTAATAAGATTTGCTGACGTCTTTATGATTGCTTAAACCATTGTAAACATTGAATAGTTTTCATAAAAAATATGTCATGGATTTTAGCGTTTTCTTGCTAATTGCAAAAACGAATTAAAATACTCTCTAAAAGCGATTAAATCATTTTTTTTCTTTTTTGTTCTGTTATATAATCTCTACTTTAATAATGAGTACTATGATAATAATTGTTTAATAATTACTATGGATAATAGGCGGTTGTTGTTATATCATTTCTGAATTGTTGATCTAATTGCATCACTTGTCATGATTGTAATCTAACATCTCAAGAAATAAGTTGTACGGCTGCATTTTGCGGTTTACCAATAACATTGTGGTTAACACATAAAATGTGCAACATTTTCTATTGATTCATAAATTGAATACAGAAGATTATGGTTTTCAATATAAACAAATAAAATGTGATTTTAACACAATTTTAATTTTTTCGTTATTAAATCAGACTTTACTTTTCGAATATTATATTACTATTAATAATAGGTTTTATTTTATTACAGCATTTAAATCTGTGATCAGAAGAGATAAGAAAACACTCTTAACATTATTTATGTATGTACCACCGATTACTATCAAATAAATTTCATCATAAATAACATGCTTTATGAGTAGCTCTTTATTTATGTAAATATAATGAACTTGAAGAATATCCTCGATAAATTAAGTGAGTCGGTGTTTTCCGTGTTTATCCTAAATGACTACATTAATTCCACACATTTAGCAAAACATGATTTTAAAACAACCTCTACAAATTCTTTACATCATTTTCTTACTTTGATAACGGTAATATAACGAAACGGTTAGGAAGAACATAATTAATTATATATTCGCAAAAATTTCACGAAAAACATTAACTGGAGGTGATTCAGGAGCAAGTTGCTACAAGTTACGTTTTGGACAACGTTGAATTATTGCTTACTAACATTTTATCTAAGAAAGGTTATACTGTATAGAGATGTGCTCAAAACGGCGAAAATTAAACAGCTACTGGACAATTTATGATAAACACACTTTTCATATCAAATCTAGTACTACTACAAGTTCGTGATATATGTTATACCACAGAATGGGGTGGAGTATCTACAAAGTATAGCCATTAAGTTGCGACTAATATTTCATATATCAAGACTCTAACCTGGAATGATGTGTCACCTCTACAAAGGAAGATAATAGTCTATCGAGTCAAACAAGACATCGTAAAGCTTTTTTGTAAGCCTTATCCAGCAATCGATTGATGTAATGACATCGCCGAGAAATCAAGAAGGAAATCTCAAACTATATTTTCAATGTCATAATTATAAACCACACGAAAACATAAAAAAAATAAACCAAGAATCATAAATAATCCTCTCTGCATTTACAACAAATCCTATGTCAAATTTACAACAACTTTCGTTAATTCCTTATTAAATTGTAATGTGTTTGGAATCAAGCTGATCTTGGTACTAATGAAGTTGTCCAAAATATGAGGTTTAACATATACAATTGGAAACCATCATAGTTTTCTATTGCAGAAGAGGCAACAATTCTAATCAGAAAACAAATTCAAAATCACTAAATTATTTCAAAACAACCTAATTGAAACTACTGTCACTTACAGTTACTTGACTACTGATTGGTCCAACTACATACGTATTGGCGATGTTTACAGCAAAAATCAACTCTGCGTTGGATTGGGTTGCAGTACAAACAACTCAACCCAACCCTTTTTTCTAAGAGGGGAAAAGCTCTCCCAGCCTATAAGAGAAATCCAGCTTTTTCGCCATGTTTTAGGCATCTCTGGAATCGCGTTTCAGCAAACATCAGGATTCTGGCTTATAGATGTATCTGGTTATTTATTTAATTCATTCTACCCGGTCTTCTGTTGTGTTCTCCATCCTTTTTTCTCCTTTTCTCTGTCAAGCTTCTTTTATGTTTGTATAAATTCTGGCGGAAACACCCATGACCTGTCTTTAGCTGACTCATGCTGTAATCCACATCTCCCCTTCATCAATCCCTTCGTCTCTACTCATCAACCCTGCTTATGAACCCAACCCAACCCAACTCAATCCATCTAATGTGATACTATCAGTTTACATATACAAACATTCTTCTACAACGACAACTTCTAGAATAACACTGAAATATGAAGTAATTCTGACGTTAAATGTAAATGGAATAGAAATCTCTTCGGGTAAGGATAAGGCTATTTTCTGGTCGCTTGGAATATTCACATTGCAACGTCCTCCTTTTCTTCTTCAAGTTGTTTTGGACCTGTTGTGTACATCACAAGACACGCTTCGGCTGCGAATTCAAAATTCAACAGACAATTCTGAATTCACAGCCGAAGCGTGTCTTTTGATGTACACTTCCATCTGTGCTTCCATCTTTTTGGGTGGTCTTTCTGGTGTTCGTGTACCAACTAGCAGGCACTCTAATACTATACACGGAAAACCGCATTTAACATCTTCTTCTTTGTCTCCCTCATCTCACTACATCTAATATACCACATCGTTCCCTGATGTCTATATTTCAGGATAGTTCGCAACGTTTTCATTTCAGCAACTCTCAGCATATTTTTAGTGTCATGACGTGATTTATACAAGTTTTATAAATCCTTATTTTCCTGTCCATTCGTGTGTATTGATTTGACCAAACTATCTCTCTTGAGCATCCTGATAGAGAAGTCATTTTATTGATCTGTTTTTTTAAGTCTTTTGCATGACTCATAATTGCTGGAGATATCCAGTCTAAAATATTTAAACTGACTGATTTGTTTAATAAGCTTCAACGCCATTTCTATTTTCCGATGAATACGGTCATGTTCTTAATTCTTAATTAATTTAAAAAGCTGACTGCAGATTATCTTCAGTTTTTACCGTGATTGTTGCATAGTATATCATTTGACTTTATCCTTGCTATATAATTGTGTCTATTATCAAGTTAAACAGGACTGGGCTTAAGCTGTCCCCTAATCTAATTCCGTCTGATGTCAAAATATTAGCGGTTATGTGCTCGCCTGTTCAAATATTCGTCATGTTCTGACCTTATTTTCTAGTATTTGTAACGAGCTCAAAATATGCTTGAATAAAATCATCATTTTTCCATTAAGTTCTTTTTTTCTATATTTTATAAGCTTTTACAAATAATTATCGCTCAAGCAGACTACTTCCACCCTTATTAAAGTTCTTTAAAAATTTAATCCTAATACAAAATGAATTAATCTTACTAAATATAGGTCCCAACATCTGATATAATTAAATAGATTTTGTAATACCAAATAATTTCAGGGAAGGTCATTCTATAACTCATTAACTAGCTTAGGTGTCAGAATACGTTTGAGACGGTCAGGATAAAAAGACGCAAATGGGGATTAAGGTTGAGTTAGTTGCAAGTAGTTTTGTTGACAAGTAGTTGATGTGGAGATGTGGAACTACGATAACTAACCATCATTATTTTTATATTTTTTATTTCTGTTACCAAGGAACTACTTGTTATTCAGTTAAAAAGGTAAAAACTTCTGTATCTATTTTATATAAGAATAACAATCAAAACAAAAATCAATTTATCAACCAACAAATTAAAATATGTATAATCAATATTTATCACAGTCCAAGAAAGTTTCCATTTACAAACAAATTAAAATCGTTATCAGATAACAAAGTTAATTACTAAAGTTATGTTTCTTGTACTCATTTCGCTTTGTTTTAAAAAAGATTGAACTTTGAATAGCAATTTGTCAATCTAAAATATAAGTAAATATTCTATTTAATAAAATATCAGATTGGATGGACAGCAATTTAAAGAAGTACTACTTAGTAAAAGAAAATTCGTTTGCGCTTGCGCTTGTATTCATTCTGCGCGACCGTCCTAAAGATGATTTATTTTACGAATAAGTGAGTGTAAACGAAGTTGGTAGAGCTGTGCGTCTTGGTATTTTAAACGAAAAGAATTTGCGGAAAATGCTTGACAACAATGCGAAACTCGCGGATAGTGTGTCAACGAAATCCAAAGTATATCGCCTTAATTGATTAAATGCTTCCTTATATTCTTAAACGGAGACAGTAAATTTATAAATACTTAAGTTGCAAGTTGTATGATGTAGTTAGCACGTTTTCTGGCATCTTTCCGTCAGAACGTCGAGAATAAACATTGTTTTTTTTTAATTGTTTCTCAAGGTTTAAGTAATAGCATGAGGAATATCTAATATCTTTTAAAGGTAAAAACATAATCATCTTAAATCATCTTAATTGTTTGTTTAACATATTTTACTTATCATTGTTTATTTTGTTTCAGAAAAGTATTTCCTGACCTTTATTGGTACTACTCTATTAAGATAGCATTCAAAACATCCAATTAAAATCATTAATAAATTCAAAAGAAGTTGTAACATGATAGATACTGATCCGAATTCGAAAAAAATCCAAACCATCAGCGAGAAAATACCTATTGAGAATGGTAGCTCAAAACACGACATAGAGCTTGTAGTTTATCCTGATTTGGCTACAAAATCCGACGAGAAACCTGAATCAAAACCAGCCGATTTTGAAACAGCAATTGAAAAAACCGAATATGGAAAATTTCATTACCTCTTATTGGCCGTGTGTGGCTTTGTCAGCACCGCTGAAGAAATGGATGTCATATCGATGTCTTTTATACTTCCGAGTGCACAGTGTGACTTGAAACTAACAACTCAAGCCAAAGGTTGGCTAAATTGTATCATTTTTATTGGAATGATGGCGGGAGCTTATGTTTGGGGATCAGCTGCTGATGCTTTGGGAAGAAAGAAAGTTTTAATTGTCATCTCGTTTATGAATGCTCTCTGTATCGTTGCGTCAAGTTTCAGTCAAACTTTTATTTGGTTTATGTTCTTCAGGTTTATGAACGGAGCGGCGTAAGTAAAATTTTAATCATATGTTGAACGTTAAATCCGTCTGAACCTTTCCTCTCACATTCATTTAAGTATATTAATACTTAAAAATAGCCGCGTGGCGCTTATTAAACACTCCCGAGGAAGTGACTCCTTGAAAAAGGAGAATTAACTTAAACGCGAGATAAAATCGTCAGTAGGAATATGGTGGGCCAAGAATACTCTCTCACGCTTCCAACGACGCGTCATCTCTTTGAAGACGATGCGCTCATTTAGCAGCAGGGATTTTTATTGGCAAAATGACACATAATAAGCAACAGTCGCAGGAAGTGGGAGCACGAGGTGATTTTTGGTGTTTATAGCCATTTGACGTTGACCTCTCATTTCATCAATGAAACATATTTATACATTTTGACTTATTTTTAACTAATTTTAGGTTTTTCTTTCTTTATTGATAGATTGGGTGGTAGTGGACCAGTAATATGGGCTTACTTCGCCGAATTTCAACCAAAAAAGAAACGCGGATCAATGTTATCTTTTATGGCCGCGTTTTGGACTTTGGGGAATCTTTTCGTTGCCGGATTAGCTTGGGTTATTATTCCGACAAACATTGGAGTTTACTCGCATAATTTCATTTATAATTCATGGAGGATATTTCTTTTAATGTGCTCCGTACCTTCATTTATCGTTGGGTCTCTTCTTTTTTTTCTTCCGGAGAGTCCCAAATACGTTTTATCAAAAGGAAAGAAAGAGAAAGCTTTAGAGATCTTTCGATCGATATATTATTTAAATACAGGAAAAAGTAAAGATAGTTATCCAGTAAAAGACATGTTGATGGATGCCGATTATGATCCAACGCCGAAAGGAAAGTTACCATTAAATGATAAGTTGAAGAAAACTATGAGTACAGTGGTCGAGCATAGTCGACAATTATTCGTGATGCCCATTGCCAAATTTACAATTATTTCAATTACTATTAATTTTACATTTCACATTGGCTATTACGGGTTGATGATGTGGTTTCCAGAACTTTTTAATAGATTTGATGAGTTCTCGAAAGATCATCCGGGCGTTCAAGCTTCTGTGTGCGAAGTTACCGATTACGTGGTCAGAAATGGCAGTCAATCTTCAATGGATTACGAAAAATGCAATGATAAAATCGATGACACCGTCTTTTTGGATTCGTTAATTACCGTTGCTTCTGCCATTCCGGCCAATGTTGTTGCTGTGTTATTTATTGATAAGTTAGGAAGAAAATTCTTTTTAGGTAAGTTAGAATTAAGACTAAAAATAGGTGTTAATTATTTTAAATTTTAGTGTTTAGTACCTTCTCATCCGGTTTATGCGCCGCTTGTATGTATTTTGTGTCAAACAAAACCCAGAATCTCGTTGTTTCTGCAGTTTTTAGTGGGGTAATTTCATGTGGGAATGCAGCCTTGGATTGTTTGATAACTGAAATATTTCCTACGAATCTCAGGTATGTTTTCATTTCTAAATATAGAACTTTTAAAGTTAGCCGGTGTTAACAAAACAACTAGTAATTGTAAAATGCGTCGTTACGGATTATTCATGAGCACAGTTGTGCGTGAAATTTATTCCTGTTACTGCTACGCACGTAATTATTAAGATCTATTTTTGTTTTTATTTTCCCATTCATTATGGAAATGATGTAAGTTTCTTTTATACTTTACAGAGCGACTGGTGTTGCAATATCGATGGTAGCGGCAAGATTTGGTGGAATAGTTGGGAATATTGTGATAGCGATGTTGCTTGATATGTATTGTCCAGCTCCAAATTTCATCGTAGCCGTATTGTTAATCGGTGGAGGATTATTGTGCCTAATGTTGCCAAATACAACCAGAAGACCGTTGTCATAAAACAAACCCCAATCTACCTTAGTTCCTTTACCTCATAAGTTTAAATTTGTAACTATTTTAATTTTATACTTTACACAAAAACTAAAATCAAAAGAAGAAATCGTTATAATCTTTATTGTACTAGTTGATTCTTTTAAAAACGTTATACTTTGTACGTTGTTTCATTTATTATAAAGATTTATGTTGAATAAATTATTTATTTCCGAACGGAACGACAAAAATGTAACATCATATAGATCATTTCATGTCGGTTTAATGCGGTTCAATCAACAAAACCAACTGGTAAACAAATTATCGTGTTACGTTGAATGAAATTCTAAGTGAAGGTGAACGGCTGCCGCGAAGCGGAATTAAAATCGATTGGAGTTTTCATTACCATACGCCTCGCGAATCACGTGGTTTTATTTATTTATCTTTTTTTGTCTTCACGGGCGCGTGATCTAAGGATCTAAGGTCGCGTTCTATAAGTTATTGGAAAACCGGTTGATCTTTTTTTTTGGATGTAAATCCCCAGATCGTAACTGTGTTGAGATCGTCAATATTATTTTACGAGCAATTAGAACAAGCACGTTAACAAATATCCTTTTGACGCCTAACTCAATTTTTGGAAGAACAAGAATATATACATACATCAGGTTATGTCACACGTCTTAATGCAGCATATAGAAAGTGGCACGAATTCTTGTTTTCGTATAATTAACGATTGTAATTAAAGGAAAGTTGATTGGATTCTTCTCGACAAATACGATGACGTCAAAAATGCGGCCGTTAAATCTCTTTGACACGCCGTTAAGCGATGAGAGAACTCATCAGAACGAGGAGAAGGCAATTTCGCAACACACTCCATTGAATCGCGGGCTACGATGACGGGGCTCCGGAAATCACGTCGCGGAGGCGGCTGATAATTACAAACCTCCCCGTTCCGTTCTCGTTCGGACGACGCTTTCATTAATGCAAAACATTAGGGCGCCCGGATAATTGTCCTAATAAACCGTTCCAGTCACGCCAGCTCGAAGAAATCATAAATTACCGGTGGGGAAAAGGGAGCTCTTCCCGCGGGGTTGTCATCTACCCCCGCATCTGAACACCGTGTTGAATAACTTAACGGAGGCCCCATTTACAAGTTAGATTGGGGCGTCGTTTCAAGTTTGATTCAACGTACGTGTTGGCTACTAAGTGGGTTTAATTGAGGGGTAATTATTGAAGTTGAATGTTAGAGGTTAAAAAGTTCTCTTTTACAAACTGTAATGTATGAGTGTATTGTTGTTTTGATACACCTACAAAGGTAGTACTGAGAACATCTTCTGTTGAAGCATCCCCAAGTAGAGATAAATTCTCGAGTAGAGTACATTAAGATATCGTTCCTTGAAGCGGTTGGAGCTCATTTGGTGTTCGGGGTCCTTGTGTTGGTGTGTGTCGGGGTACGTGTCCGCATTATCTTTTTAATTAGTCCGGCACACCGGGCGTACAGGGCCCCCTTAACTATCCCGTCATTAATTACGGCTTAAATACGATCGGTCTCGAGACCTCGCCCGTGCATTGTTCGGCGTTTAGGGCCATTACAACTCTATCTGCTCTCCGGGCCGGCCAGCTTCGAGGAGTGGCGCGGATTATTTCATTACCCAGGTGGGCGTGCTGCGGGAAATCAACTATTGTCAGGTGTAAATTCCGTAGACAACACGGCAACACGCGCGAATCGGACTTGGAGCCCCGGCGTTGTAGTGTACCGGGTGAGCGGATATAACTTATGCCCAAACACACCGTACGTTAACGTTGAACACTTCTTCCATCTCGGGGATTGCCGCCGCTATCGTCTCCTTCGAACGCGTCGATGAGTGGGATTACACGGTGCATGTTCCGAGCGATACCATCATCAATAATAACAAATATGATCCTCATTAACATATTAAACGCCGCGGCGCATTCTCCGCGATCCGTCCGAACGTTAATCGGCAGTAATTTTTTTCCAACCAACCATTCTCTTTTCTCAAAGAAGAACGAAGAGGATCGACAATCATTTCTGACTCGTTCCCTTTAAGACAAATGAACTGTTACATTTCTTTAACAGTATAAGAAACATTTAAATTTAACTCAATGAATCAAAAAAATAATAACGATAATCTGTTGTTGTATACATTCAACATTCTCACATCCTTTTAGGGCGCTGATATACTGACAATATTAGCATCAAGTACATCAAAAAGTTTATCAAAAAATGTAGTTGTAGCTCATATCAAATTTTGTTATTAATTACAACGACTAATGTCTTACAGTGATAATGAATATTATTAGAAAAGAAATATTATTACAAATCTAATTTATTTCATATCACTAACAGCAATAAAAAGACAAATGTACGAAAGCCACAGGAATAAAAAAATTGATAAAGAAACATATAGTGAAATTGAAACTACTAAAAAACAGTTGAATTCAGATTACATTATTAATTCTAATAATAAAACAAGAGCGTCTTGACAACTAATAAACCGCCTTCAAGGTAAAGCTACCACAAGTGGTATAAAACCAGCAGATTTTGAAGCTACAAATGAGCAGTTCTTAAATATTCTGACGGAAATAAATGACTATTTTATAAAGATTTGTCAAAATATTGATAACAATGTTGGCGACCACCTAAATATTCACTATCAACCGTCAGTGGGCCACACTTTGTCATTATACTTAACGGACGAAATTGAAGTCCTACAAATAATAAATAATTTAAATAACACAACGGCAACTGGTGGAGATGAAATACCGACGAGCGTACTAAAGCATTCTGCAAGGTTTGCTGACGGCCGTTTTCCGGATGAGTTGAAAAAGACAGTAATAATCCCAATTTATAAAAAAGGAGACAAGTCCTGCTATGATAACTATCGTTCAATAGCACTCATATCGAATCTTGCAAAAATTTATGAGAAGCTTGTACACAACAGAATTATAAATTATTTAAACAAATCTAATATATTGCACGAGAATCAAAATGGTTTTTGAAAGGGAAGATTCACGAACTTGTAATGTTTCAACTGTTGGAAAATATTATCTTAGGATTAAATGGAAAACAGGCCACAACAGCATTGTTCATGGATTTTACAAAAGCCTTTGATAGTGTACATCATTCAATCCTTTTGACCAAGTTGGAGAGACTTGGCTTTCTATCAGGGAGGTTACAATGTGTAGTGGCCCATAGTGAACAGGAAAAGAAATAAGATTAGCTTGGAGGGAAGTCAAGCTGGGAGTCCCTCAGGGTTCCATATTGGGCCCTTTATTATTCCTCCTATATGCGAATGACTTACCACGTGTAACGAACAACATTACGATAATGTTTGCGGATGACACAACGACCGTGGCGAGGTGTAGTACTGATTATGAAATCCAGAAATCACTTACTGTGGATCTGAATAAACTTTCGTATTGGTTTGAAGCGCACAACATAAAATTAAGTACAAAAAAACGAAAATTGTTAAGTATCACTTATGCTCTGACCAGATCAAGGCGAGGTATCGGGATACTGAGATTTCCAGTGTAGAAGAAATTTCGTTTCTGGGTTGGAAAATGGATCCTGGACCAATCACATTGATTTCTTTGCTGACAATATCAGACATTTTCATATGCTATTCGGATTATTTCCAGATCAGCTGGCATTGAAGCAGCATTAAATGCCTATTATGCATATGTTCATTCCTTGCTATGATATGGAGTCGTCTTTTGGGGCCGTAATGTTGGTATAGATAGAATCTTCATACTACAAAAGAGGTGTGTAAGAGCAATCTTTGGTCTAAAAAATACTGATAGCTGTAGAAGCTTTAAAGACTATAGAATACCTACCTTGTATGGAATTTATATTCTAGAATGTGCCGTATTGGTTAGGAAGAATTACTTTAAATTTTTCAAAAAATATGAAATATCACATCCTCGAGACACACGCGGGAAGGTGAACTGCTATCTGGTGCTACCAAAAACGCACCTTACTAAGATTCAGAAGACGGATTTGTACCAGAGTATCAAGATCTACAATCACATTTCGGAGAGTACAAGGATCCTGCCAGTTCCAAGATTCCGGAGAAGACTGAGAGCTATTGTCACCGAAAATCCGATGTATACAATTGACATGGTTTTCCAATTTAATGTTTGAATTAAATTTGTATTATATTACAATGTAATTATTATTATTATTATAATGATTCTCCCATTGTATAAAGAGGTTATGAACGCACATACAACAAGAAAATTAAATGGAATGAGTAATGCTCAACATTCTTTCGTTTCTATAAGAAATGGATATTAATCATCATTTATAAGTGACATCTAGGTTGCTATTGAACATAACTTCATCCTTTCATAACTTAAATAATTAGCACTCTCAATTCAAACTTGGTTTTTGAACAAATACAATTTTTATCAAATATAAATGAAATCTATGTTATCATCTAACCTCTAACCTAAGGATTTTTTATAGATCAGAATGCACCTCAGTAGCGTGTCATTAATTTTAAGCGTGATCATTGATGTTTGAAATACTTAAGTCCTTTAAAGTGGGACATTCACTTACGATATATTGTTCATTCTCGATATATTATTCACATATACATTAAAAAGAATTGTTCGCAAGTATCAATCATTTCACCTATTTACCTCATTGTGCCCAGCTAGGAGTCCTATGATTACCTCTGGGGTACTTTGAGTAAGACTTACTCAGATCGAAGATATGCTCAGCGGTAATCATTACTTTAATTAATGCTAAAACAAAGTATGTATCTGTTATGTGTGAGACTTACCATGCTTATTAGAATCAATAATAAGATTTTCGTCAAGTTTAATACTACCTAATTCTGCATATTCGACAGTGCTGTTTACCTCTACTATGGTGAGGTTTAGGTAAGAGTTTTAGGCCCCTTTCCAATATGATGGTGTATCGCTGATTTTCTCGTCTTTAATAGCTTTTGTAAGCTCTTGAACTAAAAGACGGGCCTAGAATTGAACGTAAATTAATGTAAAATCGTGATAATAAATAAAAAGGAAACAAGAAATAACCCGACATATATAAATATTCATTAAGGAACAAAAGATAGGAGAAGTATCATCATATGAGTTCTATGCAGTAATCTTGGACACTCCAAGATAAACAAGAAGAAAAAATCACAGCAATGGAAAT